GGGGGGGGGGTGGGCGCCAACGGATGATTCCCCTGAAGTAGATCGCAGGCTGACAACCAGGAAACACCTCCCAGCCACGATAAGGCGGTAAACCGTTGGGAGGCCGATTTTCACCAACTAGTTTTTTTTTATTCCATTTTTCCTGCTTTGAATTGAAAGTGAGTCTTCTTAGATGGCGGATGAGGGAAAACGAGTCGAATGAAAAAGTGCTGGGATCCCTAAATTAGATGTAAAAGATCGGTCGTATAAAAGTAAAAGAAGAAAACGTACATTCTTCCTGACATGGCGGTATTTTTTGAAATGCTTTTATTAGGAAGATTGACAAAAATGTAACATTAACGCAGAGAGTAACAAAAAAAAAGTGTTGACAAAGATATATCACGCATTTGACTTCATAGGAGTCGTAGAGATGACTGAATGCATATTTCGCCCATTTTAGCGCATACAATGGCTTTCTGGAGTTCGATGATGCATCAGATGATTCACCCAATCATTCCAGAAAAATCTGATGGGAATTTTTCGAATTCATTGTGGTGAGAGGCCTGGTTTGTCCAGATTGGATACCCGAACCAACGATTAAGGATATATCGTATACCACATTTAGCCACTGCATTACATGCCTCTTCTACATGCATTCACTCAACAGTAGTATTATAGTAACATTTCAAATCTTCGACCAGATCCTCTGTTCTGAGCAACTTCAGAACAACATCGTTGGTGCTGTGCTGATCACGGTGTCTGCTACATTTTCCGAAAGTCATATCAAGAATGTGATCAGGACTATTGCAAGTGTGTCTTCGAAATTTTTGGAAAGTGAGGAGGGGTTTTCCAGGTCGCCTATTTTTTTCCTTCTTCGAAAATATTCGGCGGAAAACTCAATCAACATTTTTTCTTATTAACAGCTATCGATTTTTTCTGGAGTTTATTCATTTCATTGTTGTATAATAGTAATCCCCTCAAAAAATTTCGTCTGTCGAAACGCTTAGTTGAGCTTCATAATAAAAATTTAACGACTCGAATCGTCTAAAATGTTATAACATTCGGTATTTTAGTCAAGAAAGCAAGGTTCTTAAAATTCTTTTTTTTTTTCGAGTCTTCCCAAAGTTAAATTTATAGTGTAGTCGTGAAAGTGCCACTCGCTCATCAACAGATCATGATTCGGTCGTCTCCGAGACCACAAACCCCTTCTTTTAGATGCACGGTGAGAATTTCTGCAACATTGTGAAGGTTACTGGAAGAAATGTCTACGATCTACACGGCGTGTGATGCACAGAGTTCCATTGCCCATATAGATTCTTTTAATTGAGAGACAAATTCTTTTTCACGCACCGCTATGTACATATTGGTTCAATACTTCAAATGGATACCGACCATACACTTTCAAACACTTCGCATTTGCAGAGGCGCACATAGCGCTGTGGTCAGACGCACCCTGCAATACATATGGCATCGATTCCCGCACCTCAGGCTAACCAAGCTTTCCAACTCTCTGGGTTAGCCAAATTGATACCAGACTTGTCCGGGAAGATAGCAGCACTGGCTTGATACATCAGTAGCCGCCGCGAATCATTATAAATCCCACAATCCCACAAGATATTCACACAATCACCTCCAACTGTGGTTAATGAAGTCGAACACATGACGCACCTCCTCAGAGATTGATCGAAGCCGAGAGCCTTATCTTTCTTTAATCTCATTTGCGGCGTAGAACGTTTTATTTCGTTTTTAGAATGTTATACCTTTTTATTTTCTGCCTACTATAATTTCGCGGCAGGGTACTAAGCGAAATACAACCACAACGTTGCTGAGATATTTGCAAAACTCTGGACCGCAGGTGTCTATGGTGGGGAACGAACGCGCTATTGTCCTTTCCGGCGAGTAACGCGTTCACCACCACACCATGCGGGTCCTTCGTTTCGCTTGTCTCTCAGCTATTTCTATCGATCTTTTGCCGCAGCAGTCACCCGTCAGCGGGATTGATCTGGAGCGCCCAAATCGGCATAGAACCCAGTTAAGCTGCGGCTGTAGAAATAGCTGAGAGACAAGCGAAACGAAGGACCCGCATGGTGTGGTGGTGAACGCGTTACTCCCCGAAAAGGACAATAGCGCGTTCGTTCACCACCATAGACACCTGCGGTCCAGAGTTTTGCAAATATCTCAGCAACGTTGTTAGTTTTTAGAGTTTTCACAAAAAGGTTTTGCGTATCCCAACTCCCTAGAGAACTCCTTAGAAAAGAGCGAATTTCAGCAATAAAGCGATTTGGATTTCTACTTTGATGCCTAATGGTGCCTTTTTTTAAACAAAGATAAAGGATAGAGGATAAGCAGGTGCCTTTTTTAAAATAAAGATAAAGGATGGAGGATAAAGCATTCCACGTTGATCAGTCTTTGAGGGATGCGCTGTGCATTCGACTTCATCAAACACTGTTAGAAGTGAGTGAATGCAGATCTAACCTATACAGTGATTTGCGCTGGCTAACGATGTATCAAATTAGTGCCGTTATCCTCTTCGGCAGGTCTTATTCCAGTGTATAAACCGATGAAGGATGGAAGATTTGATGAGGCAAAGGCCTGAGATCGAACGAGTAACCAAATATATATTGCAAAGCACCTCTAACCGCTGGGATGCATCCGCAACTTTTTTTATATCGGGTTCCACGAAAGGAAGGTCATGCTGACCACTTTGTGGGTTGCTGCAGGTTTAAGCCATTGTTGCTTCTTGAATTCGGCTGATACGATTTCGGTAGAAAAGTCCGTCCAGCAAGTCGACGAAATGCATTAGAAACGTAAACAGCTGTGCCCACATGGGTTAACAGATAAGGATCAATCCTGCTTCACGATAATGCGTGACGAGTTGTCACAACCTTCGACGCTGTAGAATTTGAACAAGCTGGTTTACGAAGCCTCATCTTTCATACTCTAGATTTCTCGTCTACCAACTACCACTTTCTCGGGCAACTCGATAACTTTCGGCGCGGGAAATGCTTCAGAAATCTAGCCGAGGCCAAAATGGCCTTCAGCGATTTCATCACATGCAGAAATTAAGAATTTTTTGCCATTGGTAGAAATGAATTTGTTTCTCAATCGCAAAAATATTTGTGTCTCAATGGTTATTATTTCTTTTAATGGGCTTAATTCTATGCTGAGATATGCCACTGCAAAAATATAGTTGAGAATCGGACATTGATTCCCGAAAACTTAATATTTGTAGCCAGCGAAGTTCGCGCGAAAAGTCTATGACACTCCTACAGTCATCATGTCGAATCCATAATTTGAGTCAGATCCAGAACGTAAGTGGTTAACGTGGGCTATACTGTCTAAATCGGTTGTCATTCTAAAGAACGATAGCGTTCTCCTGGAATCCATTCCGTCACTCCTCTCTTTCACTGTTTTTTCCTCCCACCGCACAACCGACATTTCTCCTAAAAGCTGAAGGAAACCTTTTATCAATGAATAGCCATTATCCTACTGATGGTAGTCGCTTTTACTCGAAATGGTGACTGACAAAAAAATGAGGTTTCCTTTTTCCCGGTGTATGAGTGCCGAAAAACGTTACATTGAAGGTCGATGAAGCTCTTCGTTTTGTAATTTCCCACTTTCTTATTGAACGATATTTACCCATAAGATATTTACCCATTATTAGAAATTTAGCCTCTAGATTTCAAGAAAATAAAAGCGCTAGAAGAAAACGAAACCAGGGTATTAATTGTTGGCATAAAAAGATTGAGTGCTAATGAAGTTAAAATCGAAATTAAGTTAAAGTTAAGCTAGCTAGAGAGTTAAAGTCAACGGAATTAGTTTCTCGTCTCTTCATTTCAAAGTCTATTTTATAAAAGTTTTATGATAAAAGAAGTCTACTAAGGTAAAATACTTTGTTTTAACAATTCGTGATCGTATTTTCAATTATTCAGGTATTCTTAAAAATTTTAGCACAGGCACTACCAAAAAAAAAATTCAACCATCCACCGTGAGAGGAACATTACTAAGGTGTAACACTAGCTTAATAAACGTCTACTTTTTGATCAGAGGTAGGCATGTAGTAAATTGGAGAAGAAGGCAACATGTTGGCTTAGTGGAGGTGGCGGCTGACGAAAACGTTCATTAGTTGACGGCGATCACTATTGGGACGAGCAGGTCCTCATGCATGAATTGAAATCCGGAAAATTGTTGGCGTTTCCCAAAGCGCCATAGAACGAGAACCTGAAAGATCATCATACAATCGTCAACAATGAGGAAATTATTTAAAACTAAAATCATGATATAGGCAAGTTCAACTACTATTCGGGTGATGAACCTTCGTGAAAGAAAAAAGCGGGAAATGAAATAAGCGTTTGAAAGCTGAACTTCGTTTAATCTCGGTGTAACTAATCAACAAATATTCCTTCATTGATAAATTAACAGGAGCTTGATAAACAATTATATTCTGCCAGGTTTAGAGTTCTTCGGTTTCTTCTGAGCCGAATATTTGAGTCGATGTCCACTGTTGCTTATCTGTTCGGTGTGGTGACTTTGCCGCCGTATAAGTCAGATCTTCTTCAGTGAAGCACCGCTCGAATGAGGCAACCACATTCGACACAGATCTTTTATAGAGGACGGTTGTTGTTAATAATAGTGGTTGTCCAGTAATAATAACTTTTTTCTCCTGAACAATCCATTCCCAGAAGTCGGCACCATTATCAGTTGGTACAGAGCGTAATAATATTTCATAACAGAATAAGCAAGTTATTATCACAGGATAATCACTATTATTAACAGCAACGGTTTTGCATAAAAAAGCATCGCGAGATGAGACTTCGTCTTTCGTATAGCGCTCCATTGAAAAAGATTCGACTCCATACAGCGAAGAAGATTCCACATCGAGACGACGAACAATTATGGATCATCGGTTCTGAGAACAACGAGCACGTCGGACCTTTAGTTGAATGAAATTTTGGTAAAATTCTTGTGTTAATTTATCGTTGCAGGAATACACGTTAAAACAGGTATATGTAATGGGATAAGCGTGTATATCACAGTGGTTATAAGTGCCCTAGAAAGCAGGCATGGTCGTGGTTGGATGCCCATCCCTCCTGCTCTGGCAAGCTGCAAGCTTTTCTCGTGGAGAGAAACACTAAGTTGACATATCTCTCGGTTACAAACGTATTCACTCATCACTGCTGCCACTGGAATCGAATGTGCTGTATAACCCTGGAAATTCGCTGTCGATTGAACAACGCCGAATGCTTTACCCGTTATCCTTCATCCCTCTGTTAGTTACTTATAAGCAGAAATGTTTCTCCTTTTTTCTCGCATCACTTTGATATTTTTTGTTTCATTTTCGCGTAAACGTAACCATATCTGCTTTTTTCGTCATCCGAAAATGTTCGAATGTTGGAGCTATTCGAATTTCGAATAATCCGAAGAAGCACTGACTTCATACAGGTCTTGTAGTGGCTCGTGTAGAAATATCGATCACTCTTCTCTCCACCGATTGCAAATTTTCCGGTGTCATATTGGAGATTGCAGAGGAATTCTGAAAGAGATTTCTGTGAAGAGTGTGCTTGACTTAGATGAAAAATCGGTGCGCCACTAACCTGGAGTAGGACAACAAAATCCCGAGGTGCACTGATATCCGACAGGACAGTCCTGTGCACCACACTCAAAAGGAGCCAAATGTTCAGTAGCATATTCCGCTTGACAGGCAGCTTAATAATGTTGTTGTAATAATGGAGTGCCTGTGCCATCTATAACCATGTTAATCACCCAGCACCTGACGTGAGGCGCGTGAAGCTCAATGATTAAAGCATGTTCTGCGATGAATACGGCCCATGTTTCAAT